AACCACAGATGCCATCTTTGGAACCATTCTTCTCACTTCTGCTCATACTATCACTCTGGTTTCCATGGCTACAGAAATCTTTCAAACCACATGAGAGAACTCTAGTGATAATAGTTTCTGGAAAACATGATCTGGAGGAAAGAAAAAGTTTTTTATAAAAACAACAACAATTGTTTGCTTATTGGAAATGTGTTTTAAAGAGTAAATACAGTAATGGTATCATTAGGGTTTAATGAAATGTGTGGTGAGTGCAACACGGATGTATCCAACAAGACATCTTCACAGTAATCTGGACAGCTATTACATACCTACACTTATCAACCATACCACTTACCCAATATGTGCTACAACCCAATCAAAGTGTGGTGAGTGCAACACAGATGTATCCAACAAGGCATCTTCACAGTTATCTGGACAGCTATTACATACCTACACTTATCAACCATACCACTTACCCAATATGTGCTACAACCCAATCAAAGTGTGGTGAGTGCAACACAGATGTATCCAACAAGACATCTTCACAGTGATCTGGACAGCTATTACATACCTACACTTATCAACCATACCACTTACCCAATATGTGCTACAACCCAATCAAAGTGTGGTGAGTGCAACACAGATGTATCCAACAAGGCATCTACACAGTGATCTGGACAGCTATCACATACCTACACTTGTCAACCATACCACTTACCCAATATGTGCTACAACCCAATCAAAGTGTGGTGAGTGCAACACAGATGTATCCAACAAGGCATCTTCACAGTGATCTGGACAGCTATTACATACCTACACTTATCAACCATATCACTTACCCAATATGTGCTACAACCCAATCAAAGTGTGGTGAGTGCAACACAGATGTATCCAACAAGGCATCTACACAGTGATCTGGACAGCTACTTATCAACATTGCAATACATTGCGTGGATATCTCCATTAAGCATCTCGTAGCTGAAATTAAAAAAATAGGCATACTGTATTTATATATTAGACACATAAAGATACCGTACTTCCCCGATCATAAGCCCCTCCCTGAGTATAAGCCCACCCCTCTGTTTTTAGACATTTAATGAATTGGGGGCATCCATGAGTATAAGCCCAGGGTGACATTTATTAAAATGTGCATGTAAAAAGTGTATTTCATTCCATAAAAATCATGATTAGTACTCGCATTAATTTCAGAGTGCATGGCGGACGAACGTACGGAAAATGGTTCAGACCTTTTCTATTCTGTTATTTATTCAGGATAAACCCCAATGTTGCAATACTGAAGTTATCCATATTTCTTTTGAGCAGTATCGGTAGTTTTGGAAAATGTGATCGTTAAGTCGTAAAACCTGGTCACTGAACATCATTTTACTTTTCCGAATAATCGTGTCCATTGAGACTATCATGAATGGGATGTAATTGAGCAAACTATTCTTCGACAGTGAAAGGTTTAATACTTCCTCTACTTTCAATTTACTTTTCGAAAATTGCAAATCAACAGGTTTTAGGGAAAAAAATCTATGTTTTTTCGTTGAAATCAGTGTTAACAGATCGCATATTAACATCGCGGTAACACACTTCCGCATTGCGTTGAAAAAATTATTTCGTCAATAATCAGTAAACTTTGTCTGTACAACACAGCATTTTTATTGGCTAACGAAAAAACGTGACCTATATTAGGTCAAAGGAAGTTGTTTCAGATCAAATTATGATGAAAAACATCATGGCAGAAATTGATTTGTGTCCACAACGAAAACAATGATAAAGGCTCATGATCGGTAGACCCAAGTTCAAATCCTACCTTAGGTTGAACATCAAAGGGTCGATCCCTACCCTGGGTGAGTGTGCCACAGACTCAATGGGAAGGCCAATTCCACTGGCCGAGATTCATTCACTAACGAATGCAACTTTGGGGGAACCTTAGTTAAGGTCCGCAGGTGCTTGTGTTCGACCAGGCCTGATTGACGCCAGGATAGCGCATTACAAATTGCCATTTGACAGAGAGATGGCCACACAGCCCTGTCATGTAGTCCCAAACATGATTATGACTTCTGTGACAAAATGCACTATGTGTCGTCACTAGCACTTGCAATTTGCACATACAAAAAAAAAGTCAGGAGAGACAACAGTGATATCCAAAAATATTTAAAAAAAAAAAAAAAAAAAAAAAATGATAAAGATCTTGCCTTCGACTGTTTTCCCCGCTGTGAACGAAAGATGTAATTTGGATAATTTTTCGTGGGTGGGAAGGTGGTTACAATTTTAAACCCCCCTTAAAATACAGTAAAGAGTACCGGGTAATATTATTCAATATTAATAATTTGTTACAATTATTAAAAAGGTAAGTTTTTGCATATATGCTATTAATTTCCATACCACATGTCAACAGTAAAAAAAAACATGGCAGCCATAGGAACATTCCATTTCAGTCCAAGTCTGTTTATGATTTATTCTCCTCCCTTAAAACGCAAGTTTATTGAGCTTGGTAGACATTTCAACTGTATTCTAGTCATAATCAGGAAGTAAATAAACAGCTGATTATGAAAATGTGTCTCTGGTGACAGAGTTTAAATTTGGCAATGAACTTCCTTTGTTGTGTCTAGTCATTAAGATCACAGTTAATGATGGATGTCAGTCACGCATGCAGTCATCTAATAAGTGTACATCATAACAATCACAGGAGTGTACATTTGGTGCATGTGTTTTTAATGAACATAATAAAATGATCAACGTCAAACACAAAAATAAAGCAAAAAACTAAGCAACAATGGCCACCAGGTGGCCATACTGGTTTGCAATACAAAGTGGTATCAGTTACCCAAGGTTGTCATCATCAAACATTTAATAAATAAAATCTGAGTTTTCATCACACAAATCAGGTACAAAACAACAGCTTGAGCAAAAATTATTAACTCCCATGCTGGCTCTTATAGCTTGCTTAGTCTTTTTATAAAAAAATACAATTTTTAATGTGATTAGATTAGTTAGATAATGACAACAAGCTATGATAGCTTTGAGACAGATGAAGTTATGCTCGGACTGTACTGTATACAACAACTGGTGAACTCTCAAACGACTTGCAAGGTGGATAATTTTTTTTCAGAACTGTTATAAATGCACAAATCACTGCTTTTCTATGAGTGATAGCCAATTTTAATTAAAGTGGTGTAGACTTCACAGAGTAGAAAGAATATCTTACCTTTACATGTCATCCATAGTTGTAATAATTCGTTAAGACTTGACGAATGTGGAACTCCTCGTCTACCAGCATATTTGCTGCTTATTTGACCCAATAAATCAATTGACCACTAGAAAAAAAATTGACACTATAAATCAGATCACAGAATAAATTAGAGTAGTTGAAATTCACCAAAAACAAGTCTTGCAAACATCTTTTCATGTAAAAAAAACATAAAATTCTGACATTAGTCTCTCTATGTACAATGCTATAGTACTGTTATCTGTAGAGAATAGCGAGTCATATTTCACTCAACCATTTTCCACTCATTGCGAGATCTGTGTTATGAAATCAAATGCAAAAACAGAGCAAACAAAGGTTATAGCATGGTAGTGACATCAACAAATCGTGTAGAATTCAACAAATGCAAAAATACTCTTTTTTGGTATTTCCAGCTATGTACATGTACACAATATGATCATCTTACACAAAATGTTGACATTATTCCCTCTAGGTACAATGCCATAGTTATGTTTTCCTCTATCAGAAGCAGAATACATGCATAATTAATACTAGAGAATAGGAAGTCCTAATATTCGCTAAAAATTGAGAATTCAAGATGTCAAAGATCACAAAGGAATTGAGATGGTAATTTTCAAAAAGAAGTCGAAAATGCAATTGTTGATGGATGACGGGCCGCGACATACAATCACTTTATTGAACAGCTCTGCTCTGTCGTCTACAATAACAGCAGAATTAAAAATTAAATGTCTTTTGCATAATGCTTTCAATCAAAAAGCGACCAGTTAGACAGAATAGCTCCGCTGTTTCAGCAGAGTCTTAAGTTTTTCCCTAATATCACAGAGGAAACTAATCTAATGTGGTCAATTCAAGGTACACATATATACATACATTTTTTCTCAGGATAACCATGAAATCATCCAAATTATTGCAAGATTTGTATACACAGCTTTTCAGATTAGAAATAATTTGTTAGTGTGAGTTCTCCAATAGATGAGTTGTACATGTGTGTGTATGTGTATATATACACATATAATTAGAAGACAATAACATCGATTACGACATCAAATGGAGAGTGTTATCGCGTGCTGCACCATACAATACTTCAAGCAAACGTTGCAACTTATGTATTAGAGAGAAATATATTATAATTTTCCAACCACATTACTGTAGTTTAAATAAAAGAAATGAGCTTTTTTCTTCCTGTAGACACAGAGCCAAATCGTTGCTATGCAACAACTAGTTTTAATATCGTAAACACACTCCATTGTTATGCAAATCTGTAGCACTTATAACGTAGTCTATTTCGGTAGTTTATATAATAAAGTCTTAACTCCTGATGAGTGAGGTACTCCATGTACCTTACAAAACAGTACTGTAGAGTGAACTTTACTCATGTAGTCGTGTTTTAATTTCTCTGTCCACATATGTAAATCTGCTCTACAAACTCATCGTTTAGTATCGAGCACTCTCACCTGGAATAATCGACTACCTTCCTAAGTACGCTCCTTG